TAAAAAAAAAAAAAAAAAATGTTTAAAATAGAATTCTACTCTTTTAGCCCCCTTACAACAATGTCTAAAGTCTTCACCTCGTGTTACTACATTTCCTCATCTTGGTTACTTGACTCTTTAGGAGGGAACGAAAATCAATTTTTTTTTCAAAAAAAAAGGCGAAACCCCCCCCCCCCCCCCCCCGCCGCCATCTCGGGACTCGCCTCCCGTTCGATGTAGATTAATCACACACGGACCGAAGCTCTGTCTTCATTATTCATGCTCTGATATTCCAGAATGGTCGTTGCTGGAGGAAGTGTTCCCTTTCCGCGTGTCGTCATTACCATAGTTAAGCGGGTCTTAATTTGACACCGAAGTGTAGGGAACAAACAATCTTCTGGACAACTGCCAGTCTCGTGACATGTCACCCCGACCATTAGTGGTGGGCCTCAGTAAATACCACGGTGTAGGCAATGACGATCTTCAGGACTAGCCCAAATCTTGTGACATGTCATCCTGACCATAGTGCGCCTCGGTAAATGCAGAGTTGGGACTGAAGATCTTCAGGACTAGCCCAATCTTGTGACATGTCAGCCTGACCATAGCGTGCCTCAGTAAATGCAGAGTAGGGATTGAAGATCTTCAGGACTAGCCCAATCTTGTGACATGTCAGCCTGACCATAGTGCGCCTCGGTAGATGCAGAGTTGGGACTGAAGATCTTCAGGACTAGCCCAATCTTGTGACATGTCAGACTGACCGTAGTGGGCCTCAGTAAATGCAGAGTAGGGATTGAAGATCGTCTGGTCTGTAACTAGTCTTGCGACAGTGTAAGTTCGTGATTCTGTTGCCAGCGTGTCAGAGGCTACGAACACCCAATGTCGAGATACTATGCTAAAGTTATTCTAGGTCAACACCGGAGGCTTTCATAACCTGTTGGTGGGCTTCATCCCCCCCCCCCCCGGGTGGCTTTTCTATGCATCCCAATCAATAGTCAGGTCCGCTGGTGCTCAACTATTCTGTTGCCAGAAAGAGTTTTCTCCAATTTTTAGCTTTTTAATTTTTTTTATTTTTTTTAAATTTCCTTTCGCATATATTAAAATTCACATTATAAGAAATGTATCATATTTTTATGCTTATAATAGGAAGAGAGTAACCTATAAGGCCACGAATTCAAATCTTTCTCTTGTTGTCATGTGTGAATGTAAGTGTGTACCCATAATAAA